CAAAACCCTGCTGACCCCAAGTGTCCTTTCTCATAACCATGTACAAGGAGTCTGTGATGGCTCTGTCTCGTTCATCGAGATCCGCGGTCTGTTCGTCGAGTAACATGGGCCCAGAAGTTGCAAAGAGCGTGACCAGAAGCTTGTAGACGCTGTTCATGGCGTGCACACCGCCTGTCCCCCTCCAAGTTGGAGGAGTGTGCGATGATAGTCGTCTTGGCAGGTAAGAGGCAATGTCCACCAAGATCGTACGCACAACGCTGAAGATGCAAAGTGCAATAAACACCGCGCACCAGCTCTTCGGGTCTCGTGGCCCCTTCTTGACCGTGGCACTCTCAAATGCCTGGAGGAACTGCGCCATGCAATTGTAGAGTAAACGATAATGAGCATCTTGATCGACTTCATCAGTAAATAGGGGTCGGTGGGGTGGGCCTCCGTCTAGGCGAATCGAAGGTTCTGGTTGTTGAAGGTCCCAGAACATGACCTCTCGCAGCAACAGTTTCGCTCGATACAACACTGGGAATACTGCTTCCTCCCTCTCTCTAGTGGCCGCGATTAGGCCGCTTGTCTTGAGAAGGTGGAGAAAGTTGTATGCAGTTCCTCCGCCATTCCAACTCGCTGTTAGAATATTCAAGATTGGCGGTGGCCGATCGATCGTTTCTCTAGGGTAGTGTGAAAGCGTAGAGTTGGCTAAAGGAAGATTTGCAAGTTCTTCCGTCCACCAGAACCCGTCATCAAAATCAAGATTTGCTTTGACCGCATGTAGTATGTCCGGTGATATGCGGTAGCTATTTTCCAGATGCTCGTTCATGCTTCTTCGCTGGGCTAGCGGAGATGTGATTGGAGTCTGTGATTGTCTTGGAGACACTAGAGCTTGTTTGTTAAGCCGGGCCTATTTCTCGTAGAACTCGAGTACTAACCTGGGAGCATGATGTCCGAAAAGGCGTCAAGGGGGCCACGATGACAGCCGATGGCCTTCCAAAAGTCACTGCTTGGACTAAGTGGCTGGTCGACGCAATAATAACACGGCTCGTTCGAATCGCACTACCATCATGTGTCAATGAACCTACACCAAAAAGATGTAGTGGACTATCATTCTTACCGGTTGCTTAGTAGCCATACAGCGCAAGCATGGTCCAGAGTCTTGAAGCAGCCTGAGCTCGCCAATCGACTGGAGTCGAGACTGACCAACCCTACTACGTTTCAAAGGAGGCAGCAACGGGTCGACTTCGGAATCAACAGAGCCGCGTCCTGGAGCGGAATATTCACTGACTAGCGAGTAGGATTGAAGAGTATCTCGGCGTTCTTTCGGCTGGCCTGTTGTCAAAGGAGCTAGCTGGGTGCCGTGCGATGGCTTTGGGAGTTGGAGAGCCAGCGGCTGCTTTCCTGTCTCGGGGCCCCATGGTCGCAATGTCTGGTATTCGGGAAAGGAAATCGGCGGTGTATTGCCGACTGACATGCCCGAGTCGCGATGGGGGTGTAGGGTATGCTCTCGGGCATGATTGTCTCGCTCGTCCTTGTTGTGGAAGCCGTAAATGTAATGTATGCAGCGCTCGTCCCAGCACTTGAAAGAGGACGTGGACCGGGACGACGGTGACAAGCTTTCCCTCATCTTCCATCCACGGACTACCGGGTCGTGGCCTTCAAGATTACGGTCTAACCAAGCCGCATAGCCAGTCGGCGCTTCGTCATACAGGGATCGTTTAAGGGCATCAACCATGTTTGGGTCCAGCAGATCGTGGCCTAGAAACTATGTTAGAAACTGGCTGCGAGGCAATGTCTGAGCAGGACGGGAGCAATTCACCTTGCTCTAAGCAAGCAGTCTCTATACATTCGCATCGGTACTGCAATGACCTAGCCTCCTCAAACTCAGAATTGATTGGTATGTTGGCAGAAATATCTATGAGCATGGTCAGTCGGACGATTGAGAGGGAGACCAGGCAAGACATTATTGGAGCGTGGCATCTTACGGTGATGATCAGAGTAGGCTTGTAGAACCCGCAACTTGTGGCGGAGCATGTCAAGCTCCAACTTGGCATTGAGGCCATACTTTGCGGGCAGCAAGGCAGCAAGCCGTGCTTGAATCTCGGCCTGCTGATCGAGAAGTTGTCGGATGGCGCTATCGAGGCCGGGATCGGTGAGGTCGGCCGCCATTCCTCCCGGACCACGAGGGCGTCCTCCTCCCACCAACGACGACGACAGTATGGGCGTACTCGAGAATTGTAGTGGACAAGGCGCAAGGAGAAATTGCACAAGTAGACATGAGTTGTCGTCTGCTCTGCTTCTCAAAAAGCCGTTTCGTTCACACGTCGATGTGAGTGGTTCGGGTGCATCAGATACAAGCTTTTAAGAATCGATTCACGCCGTTTCTCAAACCCTCTCTAGTTGTAGACGCAATGTGCATATCATCAGTCGTTGGGAAGGCGTCTAGGGGTGATGCTATCGATGTTTTGGCGTTGCTTTTTGTTGGCGGGTTTGCCGCGGGCGTTTTTTGTGTAAGATTGGAATGGAGTAGGCATGTATGTGATGGTCGGGTTCATGCTTTTTCTAAAAGATTGATCAATGGGTACCGGTTAGTATGTTGCATGCTGTTGCTCGCTTTTCTTCCCGGCATCCGCAGATCTTTCTCTGTCTTTGGCGGATTCGAGTTATTTCCAACTTTTTTTTGCCTCATTCCCACCAGGGGTGGTTCGTCAGGATCGAGCGAGGTGATGTAAGGTACAACAAGCGAGACTTTCGCAGCTTGCTTGGATGAGCGGGACCCTTGATCGAGTTTCCATTCCAGTTCCAGGTCTAGCTTCAGGTCCAGATCTAGCTCCAGTATCCAGCTCCAATCCACAAGTGGCTGAGATGTCAGCGAGCGAGAGACAGGTGGTGGTGGTAGCTGCTGCTGGTATGCGGTCTCCGGTTTTGTTTCCGATGCAAGCTTGGTCCTCACTGCCGCTCAGGTTTCCGTCTCTATTTTGGGTCGTCCTTGGAAGAAGAAACACACAGTGCACAGGCGCGAGACGAAGGAGAGAAGAGAGAGAGAGGGAGAGGGAAGAGGAGGAAGAAGAAGAAGAATGATGCAGAGAGATTGTGAAGAATTGGACAGGCCGGAAAGAATTCAGGGCAGGAATCTCGGTATGGTGGGTTTGAGGGTCGGATTTTGGCGGGAATGGTCTGAATAGCGAGTGAGAGCACCGTACCCGATCGCGGTGCTGGTGTGCTCCTCCCTCATTGGGGAGACAGGACCTTTTATTGCCTTGTTACCAGGCCAGGGTTCATTTGGGGAAGTGGGGCTATCGTGGCTAACGGTCTTGTAAGGTAGATTAGAGCAAGATATGGAGCAGAGCAACGCGACGGCGAGCAAGCTGCAAGTGCAAGAGAGCAGCAGGGCAAGGGTGGAGAGAGAGAGGCGACGTGATGCTGGTGTCCCGTCGGAAGACAGAAAAAAAAAAGGGACCCCAGCTGGGTTCTAGTTTGGACCTGGAAAGGGAGGGGGGGGTGGTTTGATTACAAAATTGAGAAACGGTGCCACAGGGGAGACGACGGGTTGAACGGCGGACAACAGACAACAGACAATGTACGGATATTATTGTTGATGGTCCGGCCTGACAAGTAGATGGCAAGGACACCGTGACAGAGGCTGACAGAGAGGAAGAAGAGGGTGAGAAGGCAACAGGGAGAAGAACACCAGAAGAAGAAAAAAAGAAAGAGGCTGGATGCACCCACTCTACACGCAGCGTAGCAGTTTGGGGGACGAGGATGGGGATGAGCCCAGGACGATGAAGACCAAAGACCAGGACGGGTGAAGAGCAGCGACAGGTCCAGCTGGGATCTGGCAGGGTGTCTTTTGCTTTGCCGCCTTGCGCAAGCAGGCAATTGGATAGAGCAAGGTAAGGAAGGTACCTCATCCACAACACACCTCAATTACCTAAGTACCTCGTTGCCTTCCTTGTCTTTGGACCTTGGGTAAAGCGTAGCTGACAGATATGGTTGGCTGTGAGGCAAGCACACGGTAAGATATCCCAAGGCCTGGAGGGATTATGGGTGCTGATGATGGATATGGATACCTTATGGATATGATGACGGGACGGAATAGCTAAGGAAGGAAATAAGGAAGGTCTTGAAACTGCCATATCCGTACCTTGCGAAGTACGAGGTAGCCAGCTGCCTCGCCTCGCTTCTTTCATAAGGTACCTACCTACCTTTACCTTATGTTCCATCCCATTGCTAATAGTCCTCTTTCCCATGTCCATGTTGCACCTTCTCCCGATCTTCTATCTCTTTCCTACCTATGTCAGGTACCTGCTCTAAGGTAGGAGGGTTAGTAGGTAGTTTACTCCTTGCGCTCTCCTCACCTCCACCCTTCCGCCCCTTCCCCAAGCATCGACGGAATGCACATCACTCGCGAGGCAGGTACTGTACTTCCAAGCCCCAAGCCGAGTAAAGTAATGTGCGATACCTCACTTCAGCCTGTCACGTAAGGTAAGGGGCTGTGTGGCTGTGGGTGTTCAAACTTGACCCATAGATCTCACTGATACCCGCAATGATTGTGGCCAACCTAACGTCCGACCCGTATTCCGTACTCCGTACCCTTCAACGTTTGCCTCCTGCCGGCCCTGATTCCGTCGAGCCCTTCAGCAACTTCCCTCTTTTATCTGACCCCTCCCATCCATTCCGCTTCTTCTCGTCCCTAACTTGCCTCACTAGTGTACCTTGCTGTCCGCCACTTGGAATAACCCTAATGAACCGCTTGCCTTCAGCACCAACACCTTATCCTTCCCGATTCAGTTGATTTCGCCAACCACAGACACCACCATAGACATCAGCTGCTCCCCAAAATTCGACTACCTCGCCACGGGATATCCCTGGATCTTGTATCAGGGGCCTCCCGCCCCAAGGATGAGTGAGGTACTTTACTTCCTAATCAGAGCACGTTGTTCCTCGTCGTACCTTATGCCTGCCGGCGCAATCATCACCGGCATCATTCCATTATCTGCTTCTGCACTGACGAGCCCATGAACAGCACCAAACAGTGTCATGGACGGTCGTATTTCTCCTTTTCTCTAGCCTCGGTGCCGCTCTTTGACAGTCTACCCTTCACTACGCAAAAGGTACAGACGACTACCAATAGTCCATCCTTCTCCATCTCGCTGGATGCACTGTGGGAGACTTCGGCCGCCATCCGACCGATGTTTATCCAAGGGTCTCTCATTGTACCCTCACCGTACCTGCGCATCCCATCCACGGCCGATCAGACACCATGGACGGTATGCTTACCTTGCCCCATCTTGGCTCGCCTGGCAATGCCGTCCCTATCGTCTTTCTGTTTCCACGATCAGCCTGAGGTGTTTATGATGCTCTCGAAACTACCGGTCTCCTAATTCCATTGATCCCTCTTCTCTCTTACTCCCCCAGGAAGAGTCGATAGTCGACCAGTGGCAACACAATCCGCATAACTGCGCCATGGTCATTGCTGGATCTAGCAGGTAAGGCGAGGGCGGACTTATCGAGCATATGTTGGCCTCGCACGCCTTACGCCTCTTATCAGCTCCCCCTTCGGCCTTACCTCGCCCGTCTCCCATTCAATGACGCCCGTCTTGGAACCGTACCGCCCTCCCCTCCGATTCGCAAGGGGGCATGGGCCACAACCAATGCACACACCTCGAGTCCCCGTTGTCTGGCATCCCACACCCCCGCCTCATCCCAGCTACTTCCCTACCAAGTTACATTAGCCACTTGCTTGACTGGTTAGCTTCCTAACTCTTTTGAACCAGCAGCTCGCAACAGACCGCGTTTCTGTCCCGACTGCCTTCAAGCCGCATACCGTCCCCGTGGTCGCAGCGCGACCTCGAGCTGCTTTCATGATGACTGCTACTACGTACATCACGGCATCTCGAGCTACTGCGGGCTGTGGAGAGAGAGAGAGAGGAGAAGGAGAGGGACAAGAAGTTCACAGCCGTTGTGTCGTTGAGGGGGGTGGTCAGCCGCCGCACACACTCTCTCAGTTAACCACAACCAGTCTGGCACATTTGCCTTCCACCTCCAACCCCTTGAGCCTCGACCTGTCCCATGAATCCTACTCTTACCTTCTGGTAGGGTCTTCTGGTAAGTCTTGTTCTTTATCGCTTTATTTCCCGCCTTGCGAGTGGAGGCGCTGAGGAAAAAGGCAACCAGAGAGACTGGCAAGTGAGGGCCTCTCGGAGAAAGATACTACTTACCTAGTGTGTGTACACAGTACTTCTTAGAGAGCCCAGAAAGCTCCATCCAACGGGTTCATGGGGCCCATGAGCCTGGCTGTGGGCGTCGACGACGTGGGGCCGCTTGCGCCATCTCCGACTCCCCGACCGCCGGCCGCTGGCCCCAAGTCAAACAAAAGCCGACTAGTAACAGGGAGAGAAAAATATCAGACGAGACCAGACTAAACGTCTGTTTAGCCTTACTGTCTGTCCGTCGCCTCCGTCCTGTTTGTGTACCCTTCGGCTTCGTCTCGAGCCAGTCCGTCTGCTCCTCGCACGAGTCTTGACGTCTGTCAGCTGCATTGGCAGCCCATAACCACTCGCTGCCCTGACCGTTCAAGCTTTCCCTTCAGTACTTTAGCGAGTAATCTTCCTCGCTGGCGAGAGCTCAACTACCGTCTACGAGAGCTCGCTTCTACGTCGCAATTGTGTACACTACGCAGCAGCCAGCAATGCGCTCCATGGACTGCTGAGCCTGGCCTGGCCTGGCCTGGCTTTCCCTCAGGCTTTTCGCTCGCTAGTGCGAGCTTGCAACGTCAGGTTCTATTCGGGTTGGGGGCGGTTCTCGAAGCATCACGCGAGTGCAGGGGGATCCCTCTGTGGGCAAGAAATTGCGACATTTCCGCCTTGCCTGCCAGTCTGCGCAGCCACCAGCCTGCGCAACAGCTCTCCGCCGCAGCTCTTAGAAGACAGCCCTGGCTGGTCTTCGCCTCGAATCTCATGTCGCTCTGTCTCTCGACGACGCGGGTGTTTCCCGTCATAAGCGCACTTAGAAGGCACCTGGAGCCAAACCCACGTCTCTATGACCACGCCCACGCCACACGGGCCAGCTTGCTAGGCTCCACGTGGGCCATGGAGTCCGTGGTACGATGCTGGGGGGCAGTCCCGGCAGAAACAAGCATGTGCCGAGTCACCGTTACAACCTGCAGATAGCTGCTGCGGGTGACGGCGAAAGGGGTGGATCACAACCACTGCTTGCTGAGAGCAAACCTGCCCTTAAAGCAGCGACAGACATGCAGCGTCGACCGTCACACGGCGGATGGGGTTGGCCGTGCCAGGCTCTCGGCCTTAGGCCTGACAAGCGGTCTCTCGATCGAAGCACGACGACTGGACGGACGATTCTCTTGGAACCCTTCCCATGCCTCTTTCCCCCCTCCATTTCCTGCCGCTATCCTCTTGGACGAAGTCAAAAGTCACTTGGATGGAGAATGTGCGAAGCAAGATATTGGACAAGTCGCAATGCTCTGTAATCGTACAGAACGTCTCGGACACGAGGCCAACTTGACCACATCCTTTCTTTGCAGCAGAAGGTCTGGTCCACAGTCGTACGCGTCGGTTCATCATCTAACATGGTCAAGACAACTTACTTGAAGAGCCGAAAACTCTCCTTGGACAACACTACTAAGCGATATGAAGTTGGCCGTTGCACACAGGGGAGAGTTCAGCCCGACTAAGAGGGCCCGCAAGACATCGAATAGACCCTGTTCACGGTGAAGGGCACGTAAAGTTCAACAATACTCAAATGTTTGCGGCTTGAACTGCAATAGCACCATGGTTAGACCATGATGCCCTGGTACGTGCTCATGGCTCGTTCGCCATGGCACATGAGCCGTGTCTTGCCATGAAGTCAAAAAGTTTTCCAAGGTAAGGATGTCGCTAGATTTTGAGTTGTGGTTGATGAATGCAGGAGATGAGGAGCACGCAGTCCATACTGCGTATACCCGTCACTGCCCGTACCACACCTGGCAACCCTGGCATCCTCCTGGCCGGTTGAATTGGTATCCAGAGGTTGCTATTTGGCATTTCCGGAACGTTAGTTGGTCGGACGTTTTCTACTGTACGGCAGACTTTGTATCGACATGAATAACCCCCCGATGAATCTCGGGCCATCTGCTGGCTCTGGTTCGGTCCAGTGGGGGAGTTCATCCTCCTGGCAAGCCAATTAGTTCTGGCCCCCGGCAAGTAGTAGGTATCCTGATCCCTGGATCCGGTACCGAATAAGACATCATCGTACAGGACGGCAAATTAGTCAAATAAGCCGCGTGAACAGATGGCAACGTACCCCGATGCCAAGTAGACGGCCGAGGAGTCTCATCAATAATAATCTGGCAATCTGTCAGGGTCACCTCGGGCGCCGACACGTTTTCGTAACCCTCTGGCAATTTAGACGTTCCGCCAGATTTGATTTTCGAAGAGGCTCACCGGCGAAGCCTTCACCCGTTGTTTCGATCTGCTAGTTCCACGCGCGTCAGAAGCAGCACGGTTGGCCCAGCGGCTCCAGCCTTCGAAACGAAACCTCTGCAAAAGGACAACAGGATGGGATGGAAAACAGCGGAATTACTGCCCCGTCACCAGGCTTCCTAGTCTTTTAGGTTTCTCGTCAATCTTGACTACCCGCCTGTCTCATTTCAACAGAGACACGAGCGAGGCAGTGGGCTGGCTGCCTCTCGAGCCCCTCCTCGATCTTCACGGTCGACTCGACAGATCTCGATTGGACAGCGCGTACCCGCGAGCGAGTCGTCTGTGTCACTGTCAGTGCTGTGCTGCTTGCCGATGTTGTTATTATACGCAGGCATGCAGTCTTATGGCCATACACTATTGCTGGTTTTGAGCATCTTTTATACTCAGCCCTAAACAAAATACCTTTTGCTGTCGTTGATTGTGTGTCTAGGTCAGGCAAGGTACGGACGGCGTGAGGTTGCCAGGTCCTCTAGACACCCCGCCCCCAAACGCCAGCATTCGTCTCGTCCACGATCAATAAGTTTGGTCTCTGTATCGGCAACGACGCACCGATGACAATATGGAGGGCACAGAGATCGATCCCCATCAAATGCCCAGACGCCAGAGATGTGGTCAGTGCTGAGGCTGAAAATAATGAGGAGAGAAGGAAGGGCAGGGTGTGTGCAGCTCTGCTTGTCCAAGCTCTG